CAATTGTATGTGGTGATTTCAATTCATGTGACTGTAGCTTCCTTACATTACTAGGTCATCTAAATGTAGTAGATTTTCCTACTCGTTTGAATGCTCATCTAGACTTGGTTTTCATTAATGATGTGGGTACATATGTGACTCGCAAACGTGCTCCATTGTCTAGTTCGGATCACTGTATAATTCGTGTCCTACCTAAAGTATATGGTAAACATGGAAAGAATACACACATACACCATACCAAAAAAGTAATATATAGGAGTTACTCAGAAGAAAATTTACAAAATCTGGAAAACATGTTTCGTACGACCAACTGGGAAGTACTTACAGATGACTCAATAGAAAACACAACGGATGTTATCACCTCTTATCTTAAATTCTGTTTTGATATTTGCTGTCCTACCGAAACCTTCTTTTTAAGTTTCGATCGACTTACATCTCCACAACTAAAACGACTACGGAGGGTAAAAGAAAGTATGTACAAGGAGAAAAATACTACTGAAGTTCGTAAGTTAAATGGTCAAATAAATCAAGAGATTAAACGTCTCAACTCTGTGTTTACTCAAAAACTCCTATCTTGTAAAAGCTCTCCAAGTATGTGGAAACTCGTTAAAGAAATTACAGGGGACAGGCAGACTAGAAGCGATAACCAGCTAAATGTTTGTGACTTAAATAAGTCCTTTATTCGTCAGTCATCTGACATCATGCTCCCTATATCCAAGGGTCTGAAGAATAATTGTGTTTCCAGTTTCACTGAAAATGATGTCCGAAAATATCTCCAGTCACTTAATTCATCCCAATGTTTAGGACCTGATGGTATCCCAAACCTCCTTTTTTAAAAATGTGCTGATGTTTTATGTTATCCATTAACGAATATCTTTAACAGATCCTTCTCAACTAATGTCTTACCGAAAATGTAGAGAAAGATAGAGATAATCCCTATACCAAAGAAAGTTTCTGGCGATAAAAAATGTGAAACTTAGACCCATAGCAATAACTTTACCTTTCCTCAAAATAATGGAAAAATTACTGATACAACCACTTCAACCTGCAATAGAAGAGCACTGTGATCCATACCAGTTTGCTTACAAATGCAAAAGAAGCATTTTAGATGCCGTTGTTGTTCTGCATCACAATATAGTGTTCGGGTTGGAAAATGGTAGGAAGTATGTTAGATACGCTTTCCTGGACTTTACCTCTGCTTTCGATTCTATTCCAAGACACCTCTTACTTAACAAGCTGATCAGCATCGACACTGACAGCTGGATAACCAATTGGCTACGTTCCTACCTTTCTGGAAGAGAACAGTACACTGTATTTGAAGGAAAGCGTTCAACATCTCTACTGTCTACTGTAGATGTGCCACAAGGAGCTGTTCTTTCACCTCTGCTCTTCTCTTTTTTTCTGCACGATCTGCCATCTTCCACGGAAAACACTTTTGTAAAATATATGGACGACCTCACTGTATGTATGTCGATTTCTACCTCCTCACATCTCATAGAAATGAATGAGTTTTTATCTCGTATTGAAAGGTGGTCCGTTGGTAATGGTCTCTTACTCAATCCATCTAAATGTCAGGCTGTTAACTTTAGCTAGAGACATGGACAGAACCTATACTCCATGTTGGGATCCCATAATGCTTGTGTCATTGGAGACTCCTTAATAAACACAGTGTCGAAGGTCAAATATCTTGGTGTTACTTTTTCCTCTGATCTTTCTTGGTCTTCTCATGTTTTACTGTTATCGAAAAAAATTTACCGTTTGACATACTACATAAAGAGGCTGCATGCTTTTGGGATTACTCGCCATTTAGTCTTACAATTTGTAAATTCCTGCATATTACCTATTATTTTATATTGTTCTCCATTATTCTTTCCCGGGCTTTTGAGAAAAGACTTTGCTATTTTGCGTAGAGTGCTGAAGGCGGTTTGCAAGGTATGTGGTGAATCTTTTGAAGTCATTGTTAATATGCTTGTGGATAGACATCTTAAGTTTTGCAAACTCTTGGCAGGTTTTATCTTATCAGATACTAACCATCTGCTTCATTCATATCTTTCTCCTTGTATATCTTCTGGTAGAACGAGACGTAAATACATTAAAATCCATGCACGCAAGCAAATCTATAAAAGTTCTGTAATACCTTACCTTGCAAATTTACTTTGTGACGAACAGGCTGTTAGAGTTGACCTAGTAAATAACCTGTATTCTTAAGCATGTATCAAATTTGATAATTTGTGTAAAGTCAGATTTTCTTAAACCTTTTTCATTCCTTTTCTGTTTGTTTTTCTTGGGTTTTTTTTGGTAAAAAAATTGTTGAAATAACTCGTACTGAGAATTCTATATTGCATCAGATTATAATATTGAATAAAGCCAATAATAATAATTATTATTATTGTATAGTTAAGAATTCAAAGTAAACTGACAAATAGATTATAGAAAACATTTGAGTAAATCACTTGAAGAAGAAAGATTTTATTTTCAATAGACTTAGACTGACAATAAGTAATTCTTTATGCATCATATAATCCTCTACTTTTAGAGGTCTAAAACTCAAATAAATAAAAGTGAATAATTTAGTTTGTTGGTGAGTTTCTTAAATATTCTGCTCATTTGTTAATTGAAGTAAACGATATTTCAATCGACATTAAATAGGAATGAAAAAAAGCTTGGACCAGATTGCCAAGCGAAACGTTGAATATACTTCAAATTCATTCGCTGAGATTTTGCAAATATATATTATTCCTATTTAATGTCTTATATCAACTCGGCGCCCAAATATTGTGGAACTATTGGCTCTAATTTAGACGAAAGTTCTTAGATATTTCAATCGCTTTGAAATATATCTCAGTATTCGAATATCAAAAGTGATTTTATAAAGTTATTTCACTCTTTCTATGAATAATTTGATCAAGATGAAAACTGTTAAGAAGGAAACACTCCTTTTCTCATAAAACTTCTTGTATATGATTTTTACTTAAGTTGATTGATTAGTCATTGGCTTTAAGTAAATACTGATGACAAATGCATAATACATACCAGATGGAAATGTATCCAATATCGATCTCATAGCAATACATCATTAAAATATTTAGTTGTTTTTACTTTAATCTCTATCATCACGTACTTCATAAGGCGCTGATTCAAATAGACTTTAGCCAAATATCAATATATATATTTTAAAGAGTATACTCTCTGTTTAGATGCTGTGCTTACACTTTTACTTTCTCTTGGTGAATAACCAGCAAATCCAAAAATATCACTAATTAAATGTTTTCTTAACCTGATTTAGGAGTAACATAAGAATTTCAGTTATTTTAATTTGGCTATTTAAATGTAAGAACAGTGAGTTACTGTAGATTTATGTATCTTAAATAGACTATGTACTTAGTAATTAGAGTACATGGGAAATTGCATTTTATAAGAAAGTCTTAAGGAAGTACTTTGTCCTTGAAAAAACATTTATTGACTGTTCTGCGATTGATTTAATTATCTTCGCTTTTGTGAAAATTCACCGCTTTTCTAAGGATAATAATAAAGAGAAATTTCTCTTCAACTCCTGCTATCGATATGTACATAACTGTATTCATGCTACAGTTACGTTTCAAAGCTTCTAACGAACAGTATTTTTCTTTTATTTTCACAAATTTTAATTTCCCATCTACTTCTGCTAGCTGTTAAGTGATTAGTCCACAAACTAAACTGAATGTATTTTGATCAGATTGAATACAAGAATGAGAAATTCATTTTCCTCACGCAAAAGTAACAAATATATTCACTTGTTTTCTTAAGTGACTAGGCACATCTACTTGATTTCACTCAAGTTACAAAAAAAAATGAAATAATCGGAAATCCACTAAATAAAATAAGCAATCTGGTTAAGACATCAATAAAAATCATGCCTTAGCAGCCTGTTTCATTTCACTTATCAAACTACCATCTATTAATTAAGATATTGAGATTTAATGAAAGTTTCATTAGATGGTCTTCATTCAAATGTGAAGTTGGGATTAATTATTACTGTATATATTTCCACCCTTTTCTTTCTCTAATTTGGTTTAATGTTTCAAAAGTAGAAAACAATATAAGAAGGTTGAATAAATTCAGATTTTTTTTAAAAATGCTGTAAAATAGTCCAGTAAATTACATTAGGCTCATTTATGCATGGAATCTACCCATTTAACTGCTGAAAAGCATATTATGAGTAAAAGCTGATGATAAGTTTCAATATTAAGTGCTACTAAAATATCAACTTTATAAATTTCTGTATATTCAACAGATTTCCTTAAGAAGTTTAATGCTATTCGAGACTTCTGAAGAAAACATTTAATTAATATATTTCATTACATCTTTTGTCTTTCAGATCTCCCACACTGCTCAGCTGTGAGGCGGTGTCTGCAAGTATTGTGCTTTAATTATTTTAAATAGTAGTGGCGTTACATATGGAACTTGATATTTTATTCTATAATGTAGTTGATAGCAAATGTAATGCTTTGTGATATATACTATGTTGCATAAAGAAAAATATCAGTTCTACTGTTTGGTGAACAATTTAAACGTGGTATTTGCTTCACAAGCTATAAAGAAAGGTCCGACTAGTCATTCGTCAGGTAAATAAAGATAAATTCACTTTGAATATTCTCAAATCGTTAATTACAGTTAGCAAGTTTTTAATGCTTGAACCAAGACATTTATTCAAGCTCACATTACCATTTATATAGTAAAGTATTATATATTTGCTTAAGTGGAACGAATCTTTATGAGATGAGAACACATTAAGTGGCATTTCCACAGACTCTAATTTAATTTACAGACAGATTTCATATATTCCACTTCTTTATTTTCAAAGAAAACTAACAAGATGTTAAATGAAGACTGAAATTAAGTATTAAAGATCATTTGTCATTACTTTATCATGTTATCAAACTCTCACCAAGATTACTGTTAAGTTTTCTAAAACGAGTTTTCTTTTTGAAAAAAAAAGAAATTCCTGAGATAATGAGAATTCAGGTAAAATCATAAAAGTCTATTACATCATCATTTGCCTTCAGATTCTCTTGAAATCGAACTTTATTTTCCATATCATTGGTCTGTTGTTTTGTCTAAAAATACAATATGAACATGTGTTATAATTAAACAATTATAAATTTACTTTTATGTCAAGTACAATCTATGAAGATGCAATTTCGTTGGGTTTAACTGGCAAATATACTCATATGTTGAGACTATAAATCACGGAGTCAACTTTGAGCATTTCGAACTTCCAGTGGACTTGGACAATCAAAATTCCATCTTAAGAGTAATTCTTTTCCATCCTTTTACATCCACGCTCATCTTATCATAACTTTAAGTCATTCGAGTAACATTTTAGTGAAGATAATATTCGTCAATGGAGCTGTACAATACCGTTCCTAAAACTTCAGATTTCAAAAATATCACGATTTTTGCCAATTTCGTACAACTACTTAACTTTGTATCATTGATTTTTGGTTAACCAATGCATCGTACGAGATTTTTTTAAACTACTTTCCCCATTAATATAAGCCCTAACCTTGCAGACTGGAAGGAAACTGACAACCAGTCTCTTAATAAATGTACTTGGGATATTATCGAATTTATGGTAAAATAATTAAGTTAAATCAACATTCTCAATCTTCAAGAGGCTAGAATCTTCCAGACTCCATGACAAAAATAATTGTAAACATTAACGGTGAAATAACCGTGAAACTCTGCATTATGGAGGGGGTCTTTAAGAATTTGATGTAACACCTCCGAAGGTCGAAAGTAATGAGTAAAATGATAGTTGACTGATGAACGCAATGATATGCTATCGGGTGATATTTATCCACTAGGCAGTATTATTAAATCAAGTTTCTAAATGATTAGAAATCAAAGATAAGACCACAGAACAGATTAGTAGTTTTATTGTATTGAAAAAATGATATGCTTATATACAAACTGAACATGATGAAGTGTCTTAGGTGTTTGAAGGAAATTAATTTGTAGGCCACTTTCCCTGCAACCAATTAATAACTGATCGTTAGGCTTAGTTATTGCGTATCGCATTGCCCTGTGAAAACTGCATCCAAGTTCTTAAGGATATGAAATGATTGTCCGACAAATATTGTTCTATGATGAAAACAATATTTGTCTGATGCTTATGATTCTGAATAAGTAAACAAACATCCAGTAAAAACGTTAATTTCATCAGTAATCTTCCAGGAGTCTGATGTATGTCTCCACAACTGAATTTATTTCGTTTAGATTATTTGACTTTAAAAACCCAGTATATCGTTATAGCTGCAAAAATGTAATGTATAACTATGTTTAAATTAAGCTTTCTCGTTATTCGATATTAACTGTGAAGTTATTAAAGACCGAAAATCCTTAGACTTCTACAGATACTCGTGTCATACAATTCATGTAGGATCAAACTCAAAACTCATTGGTTAAACATTAACCTGAATTAATTGTATCACTTTTGTTTTCATTCCACGTAAGTCTATGTCTTCTTTCAGATGCTTTTTGAAAAATTACAGCCGTGAGTCTGTAGCAGTTTATGTTTTAGAAAACCAAACATAACGTTTTCTACATATTTGTACAGTATGTATTTGAACGCTTAACCAAACTATAGAAATATAACAAGATGGCAGTTTTTTTAATACTAATTGGAAAAGTCGTTACTTACAAGAAGTGGATAACCAAGGTCGCTTTGACCATTGAACCTATTTTGTTCTTGAATGTTTTTCATTTCAGACTGGTTCTTTTCATTTCTGTGATTAAGGGTGTTCTCATCATCTTCATAATGAAGGTCTTTCGTAGGTAACATGTTCTTTATTTGTTTTACAACATCCTTTTCTGCGGTTTCCATTTTAACAAACACTCTATCATTTTCTAACTTTTCATCATTCCTGTTCCCTTTCCTTATTTTCCTTGCATATAAGAAAGGATAACAGATCAAAGGAAAAATGACAGTCAGAAAGACATCTCATCTCACCTAAATAAGTTGTTTTTATCATTCACTGAGTGAAGGAGGTCAACTCAAAATGGTAAAACCTATTTTAGGTGGTTTTAGTAAAAATCCTTACTAACTGACTGACTGACTTACTAACACGTCAGCCTAAAACCGCAAAGAACCGATTCGAGCCTCCAGCTCAAAAAACCTAAACTAAACGAAAAATAGCTTATTAAAGAATAAGAACGTTTATTTGAAATTTAGGAATTTAGCTCATGAGTATTTGAAGCTCCATCAACTGATTAATGGCAAACAAAGTATCCATGTGCTGCGACAATGAAAACTTCTAACCAAAACCCATAAAAGTCCTTCTTATTTATTATAGCCACCCTTCTTCATAAATGTTGCAGTTAATCATGTTCAATACAGTTTGTAAAAAAACTCAAAAAGCTGGAATTTAATAGAGTCTGGACATACAAGTAACTCACATGACCCAAGAATCCTACAAAAATGTTTCGTTTTATACAAGGAGAGATTGAAAGAGATTGACATATCGGTAAACCCAAAAGATATACAAATAGCTGTGCCATGGCTACAAGTAATTATTAGGTGAATCTGAATTTCATGTTAATCCTTTTAATTCATTTCATATTAGGCAGACAACAAAGATATGCTTTCATTTGTCCCTATCAATTTACTTGTATGAATATACAATGAACAACTAACTTGTTTAACACAACACCAACTCGCATTGATTTTTTTTGTTTATCCTCATTTTATACACCCTGTGACATGTTTGGATAATAACATCTATCAAATTGTGTAGTTTCATTAACATCTCTAACCAGGGGTATTATGTAATTAATGAGTACCCTCATATCAAATCTATATACACCTGTTATGTTACCTCAATTTCTCCACTTTTTTACACCAAATTAGTCATATTCACTAAAACAAATCTCACGATAAGTATTGTTAATATCTTTGGAAGATTTGTTCTGTATACAGTTAACCTGTGAACGATCTATTTATAATTGATAATTTTAATGATTACTTACTTTAAAAAAGCTTAGATCGAAACGCCGAGCGAACTGTTGGATTTATTTTAAGTTCAGTTGCCAAGATTTTTACGGATATAATTTTCTTTTTAGGGTATACAGTATGTTTCAACCAAACTAGTGGATGTTTTTTCCGAAACATACTATAATACTAACTGTATTCTTCACATAAGAAGGCAGAATTATACGTTTTGACAAAAGAGAATATCAAAAACCAGGAAAATTAAATGAATTCAGTTTAATACTCAAATCTATTATCGTTCTTCGTCTACACTTAGTATTATCCTGGTTCAGTTAACGATTATTTTGAATGTGATAATAGTGAATATATACATAATTCACTGAAATATAACATATTTTCTTTTCAGTGCCACACACTTACCATATACACGTTATAACAACATATACATAACAATGCACACACCACTATATGTGGTATGTTACAAAACAGTGCCTGAACGCTCTGATGAATATGCCTAATAATTCAATAGATCACCCAGCTTTCTAATTCTGATATTTTAATACTATTAGAAAGCTTTAGTTAAGTAAATGAAGATTTAATCTACTCGGTGGTATTAATCATCTGTGTTGATATAAGAGAGATCTTCGATCAAGCAAGCACTTTCTGTGTAGTAGTAATTTGAAGTATCTGATATTTATTTACATAACTTGGCTACTGAAAAGAATTAATAAGTAGCTTCAAATTCCTTTCAATTGAAATCAAGGAGTCATGTATAAGCTTCTGTAATAAATTAAGGGAAAAAAATTAAAATTCAAACATTGGAAAATATTTCAAAAACCGGAAATAATCATACACTTCTGTTTGACACTCATTTTCCCTCACGGTTTTTCTTTGATATTTCTGAATTTCAGCTTCCTGTTCTATCATTTTCTTTCTGATTAGATTTAAGAAAGATTATAGCATGATTCTCATCAGGCTCCTTGTGAAAAAAATTACGAACTAAAAAGCTGTTTACAGTTAAAGAGTAAAGAAGGTTAACTTCTGTCTATAAAGTGTACTAAAAATCATACGTTTAATGTATCTGTAGGGTGTTTAACATTTGTTAACAGATTGTTAAATCGTAACTTAATTTACTACGTTTGATACAACAAATTTTTGTTTCCGTTTACTTATTTTCTTCATACAATTTTAAGGTTTCAGTTTATATAGACTACAAGTAACGGTTTTTCAGGCAACACACTCATCCTCGACTTGACGCAGAGCAAAAAATGTGTCTGTCGTATGATAACTTAGACAAATTTACAGTATACACCATAAACGATATCTGTTATACAGAGTGTAAACATAGAACACAAAAATGAACAAAGTGACTTATTCAATAAAATCGGAAGTTATCGATTGATGAGCTGTGGATTTAATATAAAACTATTTCTGTCTTACCAAAAAATGTAGAGTCTTATTTAGGTCATCAAATAGAACATTTCAATTATAACATTCCGCTTTTGATTAGTAAAATATTTTATTCGCAATAATTAACCTGAAGATTATTTTTCGTTGACTAAACATAAATCTAATCAAAAATAGTAAAATTAAGCAACTATTGAAAATCATGTTTCTTCACATCACCAATCTCTACAACAGTGAGACAAAATGACCCATTATCTAGAATATTAACTTTTTATTGCTGTTCCATAGAATAGGATTATTGTGGTTATTACATATCAATAATCATGATTATGTAATCATTTAGGATAAACAATATGATATTGGTTACTGTTCAGTGAACGATTATCGTAAATATCTCGATCCTATAGACAGTCATTTGAAGACCAAATAAATCAGAAATAATGTTTCCTTAAAATGTTAGTTCAAATATGTCAGCGCCATAATGATAAATCTTAAGTGACACTAAATTTAGATCAATGGCTTTTTATTGACTTCCTTGAACTACCTAACATCAGTTCTTATACGCACAAAATAGAAAATAGTTGACAACTCACTCCATTATTTCATAATCTTTCTTCATTATAGTCCACTTTCCTTGTATAACGCTTGTCAGGTGAATTCATTTGCTTTCTCGAAAAACTTCCACGGATTTTCTTTGAGCGTCCACTGTGTCCTTCCTTATGGACTGATTTTGAAATACTATGAGCGGGTAATTGGCGTAAAACATTACTGTCCATCCATTTAATACGTTTCTTTTATCAACGCATATTTCGGTATTTGTGACGCGCGGCGTTCTCCTGGTACATAGTGAAGGCAAGGACAATAAAAAAAGATGATATTCGATATCCAATCTATTTTACTTCAACATATTCGACGAATTTTTTAACCATCCGTTGTATATCAACTGTAATCCTTGCTCTGCTAAATGATGGCAGGAAGCGAATTTCTACGGAAGTAGTTGGAAATGATAAGGGAATACACAGCTTCTTTGTAAGAATAAGTTTTTTTTAGAAGTAAGTTAATTTACAAATGCTTAAAAACATACTAAACATAATAATAAGCGTATCGTAATCTCTTGACAAAATCTCTCTTCACTAGCATTTTTATCTTAAAGCAATATAGTTTAGTAAAACTTTAGAAGAATTCAGAATGTCAGCACAACAGTTCATGATTCCATTTTAGATATCGTAATATTGTAGAGACAAAAATTTGTGATATTAGGAAGAAAGAATTATCACTCAGTTAGTATCCTCACTGTCAGATGGTCGTCATCTCTTCTGAAGTCATTGGTGTGATCGACGAAATGCAGTGGAATGGGAAGACTGTAACCACCTGACTTGACTGGATAAAGCTCATTCAAGACAATTTATGAGAAAAAACAAGATGCAAATACGTATAGGAATTACATAATAAAGGAGCTTTTCGACAAAGTTCTGATAGGAAACTACGGTTTATGAACTGCTTGACAAATTAAATGTGAACCACTTCTGATTGTATTCCTTTACATTCTGAAACATAATTGTAGTGAAGTGCTTCGTTAATCGATCGTCTCGATAACCGTTATTATATCAATCTGAACGGTGTATAATATCAGAAGACAAAGGGAAGCGGCAACTACATTTTTATTGACAAATAACATAGGCTAGAAGGCAGTAAGCACATGAGTAAATGTTAGCGAGCGAAGAAAAAATAACATACATGGGAGATGGCTGGTAAGCCAACTCGTTATAAGCAAGCATTAATCAACATTTATAGTCAGACTAAAATGAATGACAGACATGTGATAGGTAGGATAAGAAGTGTGCATGCACATACGCTCATATAAAAAAATAGCCAAGGTCAATAGGGGAATAATTAACAAGATCAAAATATGACTCATAACGTTATAGGTGAATTGGCTTGTCCAGAAACTAGAATAAGCTATGTAGGTGTAATATAGTACACGACGTTACACTACTCCCCACATAGCTCACCCCAGAGTGTCCGGAGGAAACACTGGTATGCAAAATAAACAAGGGAGAGGAGGTGTATATGCGTTCACAAAACAAAATTAAAGTATTAGCACATTAATTTGAAAATAACACTGAAATGGCATGTGGATAACGTTAATAGTATGTGGAGAAAAAAAATTGTACTATATCGAATAAGTTACAGTGTCAATCGAGGGGCGAGTTTATTAAACGAAAGTGTCACACTTATGTGAAAATGTACATGAAAATTGTCAAGATGCGGAAAAAAATAAAAATATTAGCATGTGACTATGAATAAATTAGTAAACGTATAAGAAATTTAACATGCATTTATGTCGTGACTGTCTACGTGATAAAATAACATGTTTGTATGAGCGATTCTAAATATCGTGAAAATAGAGTATAACAGTAATTGCTATGTGGTGCTGACTGAACATGAGTATAAAGAACAGTGAAATATGAATATGTTCTGATAAGCCGCAGTAGAGTATGTAGCGTCGATTTAGCGATCAGTAGGTTCGAATTTACATGCCCGGAGTTCATGTAGGATAAAAATAATCCAGCCGTAGGATGATGACTTCATCAACGGTTGATATTCGTTGCTGTGCTGCTATTAATAATGATCATACAATGCGAAGTCAGTGTGCGTTGTCGCTTGCGTTGAGTTATCCTTAAATATGTATTAGTAGAATGACCAGAGGAATAGGATAGTGACTACGGAGACGAGATATGCAGAGACGTATTCCTTTTTGGTCATGAAGCCTAGCGTGGTTCGTGTAGTTAGAGGGATATGCGCTCGACCTCGTTTGTTACGAAACCGTATTAAGGCATGATAAAAATACCAATACATATGATTGTCGATGACAGCGAGTGAGACTGACATAAATGTGACGAAAAAGAGTGTATCTTTGAGAGATCAGCTCTAAACTCTATGTTCTGGTGTACAGTGCAATGGAAATAGAACATTAGTTGCAGTAATCGAGTAGTGTTTATAGGTAATGGATGATGCAGCATTCAGTTATACATGTGAATGAATAGGCGTTAGATTCGTGCAAACTTCGTGGTAAAAAAAGGATTATTCTATTCCAAGCCAAAGATAATGACCATAAATGCCAAAATAAAAATACATTCAACAAGCACACCACAAACAGAACAAAAAGCATAACTATAAGAACAAGCATATCATTACCATCAGTAACATAATGAACTCTCACTAAACACTAAACACGGCAAGCAGGATGGCAAAAAGCTCAGGGTGATCAAGTAAACTAGACAAGCTTCATCCGAAAGAGAATATTCTTACTTTTACTGTGCATTCTTTGACACGTGTGAAAATATTGAAAACAAGTGTAAGTAAATTATCTGTTACCGGCTGGTTGGTGCAAAAAACGTATAGTCAGTTTATCAAGACTCATAATTACTAACGTTTACTCTTACTTTTCTGAGGATAAGAATCTCATCTAAATAATCGTCGTTAAAACTGGATACCGGACAATTTGAGTTTTTAGCAAAATCTCTATTTGTGTTACACATTGCTGAATTCCTTGTATAACGCTTGTCAGGTGAATTTATTTGCTTTCTCGAAAAACTTCCACGGATTTTTTTTGAGCGTCCACTGTGTCCTTCCTTATGGACTGATTTTGAAATACTATGAGCGGGTAATTGGCGTAAAACATTACTGTCCATCCATTTCATACGTTTCTTTTATCAACGCATATTTCGGTATTTGTGACGCGCGGTGTTCTCCTGGTACATAGTGAAGGCAAGGACAATAAAAAAAGATGATATTCGATATCCAATCTATTTTACTTCAACATATTCGACGAATTTTTTAACCATCCGTTGTATATCAACTGTAATCCTTGCTCTGCTAAATGATGGCAGGAAGCGAATTTCTACGGAAGTAGTTGGAAATGATAAGGGAATACACAGCTTCTTTGTAAGAATAAGTTTTTTTTAGAAGTAAGTTAATTTACAAATGCTTAAAAACATACTAAACATAATAATAAGCGTATCGTAATCTCTTGACAAAATCTCTCTTCACTAGCATTTTTATCTTAAAGCAATATAGTTTAGTAAAACTTTAGAAGAATTCAGAATGTCAGCACAACAGTTCATGATTCCATTTTAGATATCGTAATATTGTAGAGACAAAAATTTGTGATATTAGGAAGAAAGAATTATCACTCAGTTAGTATCCTCACTGTCAGATGGTCGTCATCTCTTCTGAAGTCATTGGTGTGATCGACGAAATGCAGTGGAATGGGAAGACTGTAACCACCTGACTTGACTGGATAAAGCTCATTCAAGACAATTTATGAGAAAAAACAAGATGCAAATACGTATAGGAATTACATAATAAAGGAGCTTTTCGACAAAGTTCTGATAGGAAACTACGGTTTATGAACTGCTTGACAAATTAAATGTGAACCACTTCTGATTGTATTCCTTTACATTCTGAAACATAATTGTAGTGAAGTGCTTCGTTAATCGATCGTCTCGATAACCGTTATTATATCAATCTGAACGGTGTATAATATCAGAAGACAAAGGGAAGCGGCAACTACATTTTTATTGACAAATAACATAGGCTAGAAGGCAGTAAGCACATGAGTAAATGTTAGCGAGCGAAGAAAAAATAACATACATGGGAGATGGCTGGTAAGCCAACTCGTTATAAGCAAGCATTAATCAACATTTATAGTCAGACTAAAATGAATGACAGACATGTGATAGGTAGGATAAGAAGTGTGCATGCACATACGCTCATATAAAAAAATAGCCAAGGTCAATAGGGGAATAATTAACAAGATCAAAATATGACTCATAACGTTATAGGTGAATTGGCTTGTCCAGAAACTAGAATAAGCTATGTAGGTGTAATATAGTACACGACGTTACACTACTCCCCACATAGCTCACCCCAGAGTGTCCGGAGGAAACACTGGTATGCAAAATAAACAAGGGAGAGGAGGTGTATATGCGTTCACAAAACAAAATTAAAGTATTAGCACATTAATTTGAAAATAACACTGAAATGGCATGTGGATAACGTTAATAGTATGTGGAGAAAAAAAATTGTACTATATCGAATAAGTTACAGTGTCAATCGAGGGGCGAGTTTATTAAACGAAAGTGTCACACTTATGTGAAAATGTACATGAAAATTGTCAAGATGCGGAAAAAAATAAAAATATTAGCATGTGACTATGAATAAATTAGTAAACGTATAAGAAATTTAACATGCATTTATGTCGTGACTGTCTACGTGATAAAATAACATGTTTGTATGAGCGATTCTAAATATCGTGAAAATAGAGTATAACAGTAATTGCTATGTGGTGCTGACTGAACATGAGTATAAAGAACAGTGAAATATGAATATGTTCTGATAAGCCGCAGTAGAGTATGTAGCGTCGATTTAGCGATCAGTAGGTTCGAATTTACATGCCCGGAGTTCATGTAGGATAAAAATAATCCAGCCGTAGGATGATGACTTCATCAACGGTTGATATTCGTTGCTGTGCTGCTATTAATAATGATCATACAATGCGAAGTCAGTGTGCGTTGTCGCTTGCGTTGAGTTATCCTTAAATATGTATTAGTAGAA